TTGATCCCTGGCACCCCATATGGTTCTCTGAGCACCTCGAGATGTGGCAAAAAATTTTTTTTAGTGAAAGAAAAAGAAATTTTGGTCTGTGAAGCAAGATTAGTTTCCCTCTTTGAAGCAGTTCTAAGTCATTGACATGGAGCAAGATCTGCTTCTGGCTACTGTCCTTAGCTGGACATGGGTATTGTTCTCATTCCCAAGACTGGTAATGTGGCATACATATGGACTTGACCCCATTCAGAAAAAATTAATCAATTCCCAAAGTACTCATTTTCTTCTACATAGGTCATTTAGCTTGGGAGAAACTTACTCATTCCTCACATATCCAGCTAATATCTAACTTGAACTTATTATTATCTAATCTTTATGTTTTTGTTTTCTTTAAGTAATACATCATACAAGTAAATATGAAAAGTATGGGCAAGATGGATTGTTTCAAAAAGAGATAATACTAAGCACAGTACACTTAAATTCTTCATCTCCTGCTGCAACCTTATTTGTTCCTAGTTTTTTTTCTGGAAAGGCAAGAAGTAAGGGATCTGTCAGAAAAGTAAGAAGGTGTGATTGATATTAGCCATATAAGTGGATACCACGTACATCAACCTAACCAACCTAACATATAATGGGAATTACCTTGTGTTCTACCAACTCCCCAGAGCCTCAGAAAAGGGGCCTCTAAAAGAAATTCAAAAAAAGAGCAACAAAATTATTAAGGAGCTGTGAAGCTGATTTATGAGGCACAGTATGAGAGGTAAATCTACATGGGTATGGTCAAACAATGGCAATGAAGACACTCCGCATGACTCTGAATTTAGGGAGAGTGTAATCCCTGAGAAAAGAAGAGACATCGAGTGATCCTGAAAGGGATAACAACCCTGTCACTAATTCCATTTGTTTTTAATAATGGTTTTCTTTATTTGTGAGATGGTCTGCCCTCAAAGAAGGCCCAAGGGCCACTCTCAACTGTGCCCAGTCAAGCAAGTAGGCGGGTAAGACCAGGGGCCTGAGGGTACAGAGCTGCTCAGGTTCTGTGAATAGAACTGACTGAGCCGCCTCTCCAGCCCTTGTACTCCGTGTTTCATATTTCTCTCGCCTTCTACAGAAGCCAGTGCTCATTGTTTTAATCTTTTATAATAATAGCACTGTAGCATTGTAGCACTGTCCTCCTGTTGTTCATCAATTTCCTCGAGTGGGCACCAGCAATGTCTTCATTGTGAGACTTGTCACTGTTTTTGGCATATCAAATACGTCACGGGGAGCTTGCCAGGCTTTGCCGTGCTGGTGGGATACTCTCAGTAGCTGGCTGGGCTCTCTGAGAGGGGCAGAGGAATTGAACCTGGGTCGGCCGTATGCAAGGCAAAAGCCCTACTTATTGCTCTGGCCTTATAATGATAAAAAAGATAAAAAGATAAAACAAAAAAAGTCCTTTATAAAATCCTATCTTTCTAAAATGTAAGATATTCTGAGGAGAAATACTGACTGAAAAGTAATGAGTGCAAATCAGTTTACTTGAAACTGAAAGGGAGAAATAAATTGCTTGGTTTGGTTGAGAATTTTTTTTTTTTTTTTTTTGGTGGTGGTGGGGGATCTCTATCATGAGGCAAAGAGAGGAAATAAAGAAAGAAAAAAAAGAGAGAGAGAGAAACATGAACTGCCTCCCAAAACTTGGACCTCATAACCCAGTGACATTTTCATCTTTACTGGTATCCAAGACCAAATATTCATAAAAAGTCTCTTAGTACAATATGCTCTGCCTCCCCTAGAGACCTCAAAGACACATGGCTTATTCCAAAGGATATCACTAGAGATCAGAAGAATTCCACTAGAATATCATTATCCTGAGGTCTTTCCCAAAAGACCAGGAGAAGTTGCATGTGAGCATCAAATGGGTGAGGGTTGATAGAACCACCTTAGCTTCTACTGCCATCAGTGATGCATACACAAGGAATAAAATCTGCCCCGGGTGGAAAATGGAAGGAAAGAGACTCTGGAGGAAACATTAGCAAAATCAACAATTCTCAACCTTTTTCTAACCATGGCCCTTCTGGCCTTGTTTCCTTCCCATGGTGTCCCTGTCCTACTAGTTGACCTCCAAATTTTCTCACGTAGCACTTACACACACACACACACACACACACACACACACACACACACACACACTTAAGCAGCTTTTACCTGTGGCCCTCTTTGGACAAGCTTGGGACCAAGCTGAGGATACCATTTTCCAGTTGAGAAATGCTGACTTCAAACAATCACTCTCTCCTGGTTTCACTTCACCTATGAAGATCCTTTTGTGATTTCTGTAGATTTTGTTCTCTCCTGATTTGGAAGGCGAGACTCAGCAGTACCCAGGAGCTACTCTTAGCTTACTGCTTGGGGACCAAACCAGGGATCCAGCTTGCAAGCCAAGCGCTCTGGCCCTCTGAGCTAGTTCCCAGGTTCAAATGGAGATCCTTTACCAGGACCATTTCCAGAAGATTCTTCCTCCTCTCTGCAACTGTGCAATAGCAGCACATACCTAACTCCCACTCTCTTGTCTCCTTTCAATTGGTCCAGAAGGAGCTCATCCAACTCCTTTTCTGGATCTTTCTAAGTTGGAGTTAAGGGAAAGGGTTGTTAATTCTATAAAATAAGTGATTGGGTAATACAGAGGTGAGAAAGAATTTAAGTGTGACACATCCTGATACGTGGAAGAAGCTGGTCTTTGGTGGACCACAATAAAGTGGACATACTGAGAAGCCCTGAGGAAAGAAAGAAATGGAAGATGACGACCAGGATCCTCATTGCTTCTGAGGCCAGCTGGCACCATTCCCCTCCGTTACTGTGTGAAATAGCACATCATCATCATCCAACACAGCGCTCTTGTCAAAACCAGTTCCAGCTCGGTTTCTAACACTTGCCTGAGTTGCAACTCACATCCAGTGTCTTCTGGATGTTTTCATCCTTTTGTGGCAATTTCATCTTTCATCTCTCTCACACACACCCAACTCAGTGCTGCCTATTTTTCCAGTTCTTGTCCACTTACATTTTGAAAACTTAGCCAGTATTCTTGCCTCCCCAACATTTATGCTTCTAGATGTTCCCTATTATGATTTCCCTAAGCCCTTGGGGCCAGAGCAATAGTACAGCAGGTAGAATTCTTGCCTTTCACACAGATGACCTAAGTTCAATTCCCATCACCCCAGTGTTCCCTGAAGCCCTGCCAGTTGTGACCCCTGAGTAATTCTACAGCCAGGAGTAAGTCCTGCATACCACTAGGTGTGACCCCAATATACCCCCCCCCAAAAATTCACTAAGCCCATTCCCATTCAGGTACCCCAGAATGCTTTCTACCAATGACCCCTCACCAAAGAGTATATGTGAGTGCTTGGACAGTGGCTCCTGGGAATCTGTGTTTCTTAAATACTCTTTGGGAAACTAGGTGGAGGTATCAGAGACCACCAATCCATGAAGTGTAGCAGCGGAGAACAGAGGAACATGTTAGACACTGCACAAACTCACTGTTCAAGTTCCCCCCGCCGCCACCCCCCCCCCCACACACACACAACTTTGATTGATACTGCTCACTCTGTGCACTGGAAAGGAATAGAATTATTGTAGGCTTGGAAGTAAGTGATGTCATGGCAGTTTCAAGCAGCTTCATGAAAAGCCCTAAAGGGGGACTGCAATGACTTCAGTGTGTGAAGGAGGGGGGAGGGGGAGACTCAATCCCTTACACAAGCCACCTTTGATTTCTCCCCGGCTGCAGATGGATGATGTAAAAGCAATTTGTTTCTTTTGAGGGTCTCGCCTTACATCACAAGCCATATAATTTCTCTTATAAAGTGTCTTTCCAACAGGGCTATTCTCAAAGGCGCTGGGCAGAGTGATCCCAGAGGCAGCAGCAAAGCGAGAGTACAAGGGAGAATGTGTTTCTCAATCCATCCAGCAATGTCACCTTTTGGAGCAATAAAACTCTGATCAAGTGCCCATGAGAGACGACCCTTTAAAAAAAAAAAAACGAGTGCCTTGTGGGAGAACGGTTTGACTGACCCTTGAGGGTCAGTCAAGTGATGTACCTACTCGCATCTCCCGCTCATTCCCTCACTCCTCGGGTCTCTCCGGCTGGCTGAGCTGAACTGAACTCTGAAAATTTGCAGAGGCGCCAGAGGCGCTTGAATTCGAAGCTGTGCAGAAAGACGTTCTGCAGGATTCCGCGGGTTTTCCAAAGTTTATCTCTACCTGGCCGGGGCGGGGGGGCGGGAGTTTGTTTTTTTACCCCACCCCCACCTCCGGCTCCGTACTTTTCATTTTATTCTGTTGCGCTTGTATTTTTACTCATCTTACAGAGTTGAGCGGTGTCTGACTCCGTGGGAGCTTAGAGTAATTCGAGTCCCAAAATGTGGTCCATTGGTAACGGCGCGATTCTTTCTGGGCCCCTTCACCACTCCCTTCCTTTCTCTAACCCCCACCCCTCCTTTCTCGACACATTCAAAGAGTGCCGCAAACGGTGACAAACTTGCACGTGCTTTCTTTCTGACTAACCCCGCGGGCCGCTAGCCAATCGCCAACAGATGGCCCCCAAACTTCAGACATCCAGGTCGGGGAGCCCCGGGTTTGCAGCCCAGCTCTGCAGGGTCAGGGCGGAGAAAACCGAGAGGTGGGGAGTGGCGGTGCCCGGCCCCCTGGGCAGACCTTGAAGCGGGGAGGGGAGGAGAGGGGGGGATAGAGGCGAAGCAGCTTCCAGGAGGAAACGGGCGTTTCCTTCCCACGCGCTGCAGAGCGCCCCGAGTCTTGGCCCCGGGACTCCACCCAACCCCACCCGGCGCCCTGGGGAACGCCAGTCGCCACACACAGGCACACGCAGGCCCCTGCGCCGCGCCCTAAGGAGAGACGCGCCCCGGGCCAATTGCTATGGCAACCCCGGGGGTTCATTCCATTCCCCACCCAGTCGATCCCCCGCTCCTCCCGGCGCCGCAGCCAACCGGCTTGTGCGCGTCCCTGGAGCGCGCTATAAAACCTGCGCCTGGTGGCGCCGGGCTGGAGTGAGTTGCCGAGAAAGCAGCGTGGCCGCTCGGCAGAGTTGGAACGGCTCCTTCTGCACAGAGCCGAGGGCGGGGAAAGCCTGAGCATGCAGAGTGCCAAGAGCATGCGTCTCTGCCTGGCCGTCCTGCTCCTCCACCTCCTGGGACAGGTAGGCGCGCTCCGGCCGGGTCCTGGGTTACTTTGCCCCGGAGTGATGGGAGCGGGCATGAGGGGGAGGAAGTGCTGCTCGTAGGATGGTCCCTTCGGAGGTCCCTTTCTTGGTTTTTTTCCCACCCCCTTGTGTCGCCCGCCCCCAGGTGGCTGGGACTGAGCACTGTGCCACTCCGTGCCCGACCTCGTGTCCCGAGAAGCCCGTCTGCGCTCCCGGGGTGCCGGTGCTCCGGGACCATTGCTCGTGCTGTTTGGTGTGCGCCCGCCAGCGCGGCGAGGGCTGCTCGGACCTGTACCCGTGTCAGGAAGGCAGCGGCCTCTTCTGCGACCGCAGCGCCGACCCCAGCAACCGAACTGGCATCTGCATGGGTAAGGCTGCCCCTTCGGGTCCTTGACCTCCCCTTCCCTTCTTTCACGGGCGGCTGGAGCTGCCCCCCTCTCTTGCCTTGGCGCTCTTCTGCCTCTCTTTCCCAGAAGGGGATGATGATGATGATGATGATGATGATGATGATGATGATGATGATGATGATGATGATGGTGATGGTGATGATGATGATGATGCAGCAAGAGGGATGTTTTAGGAAATGCTTGGTATTGTGATGCACCTGGTTTGAGGACACATGAGCGTTGGGGAGCACCAGAAGTGAGAGGAAGCCCGTCCCCAGTAAAGGTGGACACAACTTATCTATACCAGTTGCCTGTAGATAAGACTCTGGAGAGACCTGAACAGAGCAGTTTAGATAGTTGAATCCTGACACAGTGCTTGGGGCCAATGAAACTTAATGTGTACTCACTCAGTTCCCAGGCATAGCCCAGCAGGCTTGTTCTCAAGCCTGTCATTGTCCCATTAAGACCAAAGCAGTCCCCGGTCCATTCAGGACTCTGTCACCCGTGTCAGGGCTGAGAATTAAAACAAACTGCAGGCTTCCGTCGAAGCCAAGATGCTGAAGCTTAACCAATCCGGGATCAATTTCCACTTAGCTGGAAGCGATTCTTCTTAGCTGAGTAGGGAATCAGGGAAGAGGCATTTGCTCTCTTCTCTGAGCAGTGACAACCCAAGGGCCTGGAATACCCATGAATCCTAGCCCCCTCCCCAAACCTATTGCGAGAATAGGAAATGCACTTTTCATTCTTATTTGTTCGGAGCTGCTGGTGTAAGAGAACCTAAGGAGACTCCTGCTGGATGATTTCATCGCTGGGAACAACAGTTGGGGCTGTCACCTTCCAGCTGTGCACTCCTTTCCACATGCATAAAGTGGGTGGCAGTACTGAGTTTCTTGAAGGTTCCTCTTTGCTGGGTGACACCTCCCTGAGGATCTTTATCTCCCGGGGATGTATAAAGAACCAGGTGGTCTCAACAAGGAAATGAACGGTTTGGAGAAAATCCTATGTAGCTTTTCCAAGTATTATGTTCTTGTTTTTTTTGTTTTGATTTTTCCTTTTCCCTTCTCTCTCTGCTCTGTTTCCCCCATCTTCTAGTGGTAGAAGGAGATAACTGTGTGTTTGCTGGGATCATCTATCAAAGTGGAGTGACCTTCCAGCCAAATTGCCAGTTCCAGTGCACCTGCCAAGATGGGCAGGTGGCCTGTGTACCCCGCTGTGATGAGGACGTGCTAATGCCTGGCCCTGAGTGCCCAGTTCCAAGAAAAGTTAAAGTGCCCGGGGAGTGCTGTGAAAAGTGGGTCTGTGACTCAAATGATACCTTCCCAGATTTCCTCACTCTTCCAGGTGAGAATCCAGGCTACCAGGGATTAACCACAACAAAGCTAAGGGCAAACAGGGAGCATAGGTTTGGGTTCTGCCACAGGAAACTGGCCTTCACTGGAATTCACCTGTGGATTCCAGATTACGCTCTGAGATCAAACACATCACATGGTTTAATCCTAACCAAATCCTTAAAATCTAGACACAAATTCTCACAAAGAGAATTTAGTAAATTCAGGGGTTCTTTTGAACAACAGAACAGTGTTCACTGAATTCTGGGTTAATATTTTGGTCCATTCTCCTGGAGCGTTATTAGCATTAAGGAGCTCTGAGTTTTAACAATAACTGTTTTCTGGATCCTATGCACTGTTGAGAGACTATACACTTTCATGCCCAGCCTTCCTACAGAATACTGCTCATCCATCTCATCCATGGATACAGTGTCACAGAGAAATGTCACATTTCAGGTGCTATAGATGAGGTGCTGCTTTAGTACCATTGTTTTGCTATTCTCTTTATTTTATAAAGAAAAATAATTTGTTTGTTTGTTTGTTTGTTTTTGTTTGGGGGCCATACCCAGCTCTGCTCAGGGCTTATTCATGGTCTTGCACTCAGAGATCATTCCTGGTGGTGCTTGGGAAACCATATGGGCTGGGATTGAACCCAGGTCAGCCACATGCAAGGCAAGTAACCTGCCTGTTGCATTATTGCTGCATCCCCAAAGTAAATCATTTTTAAGGAACAAAAATTCAGGGATGGAGAGATAGAGTAGGAGTTAAGGCACTTGCCTTGCCTATGGCCAACCCTGGTTCTGTCCCTGTGCTGCATGTGGTCTCCCACTGCTAGGTGTGTTACCCTCTCCCCACTGCAAAGAAAACCAAAGTGGTTGAAACGCTTTTCAAATATTAAAAAATTGAGAGTCAGTAGAACATATGTTAAAATCATTTATTACCTAAATTATATTATATTTTATACAGAGATTTGTCGGGTTAGATTTTTGTTTTACTATGTTGGACTTCTTTTTCTCTTTTTTGGCTGTTCGATTGGTTTTTCATTTTTTGGGGGGGTCACCCCCAGCAATGCTCAAGGGAACATATGATGCCAGGGATCAAACCTGGGGCTCCCACATGCAGAGCATTTGCTCCAGCCCTTTGAGCTCTCTCTTCAGTCTTATAATATTTGTTACTGTTTGAAGTTATAATTATAAGCCATTCACTACATACGGAAGATGATCATATGGAAGAGGTGAGCCAGAAATGATGAATATTAATTAAGTATTGAAGAACAGCTTTTTATAATTAAAGTCTAGAGGTCACTATCCCATTAGCCAACCCATTTCACCTCTCAGGCATGGGATAGCTTCATCAGTATATTGTCTTAGTAGGTTCTACTTACACGGTCACGGTCCTCACATTGTTCATCGATTTGCTTGAGTGGGCACCAGTAATGTCTCCATTGTGAGACTTGTTGTTACTGTGTTTGGCATATTGAATACTTCATGGGTCGCTTGCCAGGCTTTGCTGTGCAGGCGAGATACTCTCAGTAGCTTGCCCGGCTCTCTGAGAGGGGTGGAGGAATCAAACCCGACTTGGCTGGGCTGGGTGTGTGCAAGGCAAATGCCCTACCACTGTGCTATCGCTCCAGTCCTACTACACTTACAATTAAAATTAAAATCTATTTACACATTCAATTAAAATTTTGCTGTGATCCACTTTCTGTACAAGATCACACCTTGAGAGTCAGAGAGATAGTATCACAATAAGCACTTGCTTTGTATTTGGCCAACCCAGGTTTGATTCTGGCACAAAATGTAGCCTACTGAGCCCTCTCAGGAGTGATCCCTAAGCACAGATTCAGAAATAAGTCCTGAGCACAGCCAAGTATGGTGCCTGCCTCCCACCGTCACCACCAACACCCCCCATACACACACACACACACACACACACACACACACACATACACAAATCATATGTTGTGGATACCCTGCTGTTCTTCTAAGTGTCTTCAGAAAAGTTTGAAAGCCATTGCACAAGGAATTCTTGAAAACTCACAATGTGCCAGGCACAATGCTTCCTTCTGGGATTCTTGGAGATTCTGTTTCTTTTCTTGAAAGCACCTAAGTTTAACAGGTGAAGAATTGAATGAAACCTTCCTGATGAGGATTGAAAGGACCATCTAGTCCACTCTACTATTTTCCTCATTTTTTTATCCATTTATCTAGCCTACAGGTCAGAAGACGCTGTCAAAGTTACTGTCTCGGAGACCAGTTTCAATTGTATTGAGCAGACGACAGAGTGGAGTGCATGTTCCAGGAGCTGTGGCATGGGCATCTCCACCCGGATCACCAACAAGAATGCACAGTGTGAGATGCTGAAAGAGACTCGGCTCTGTATGGTGCGACCCTGTGGACAAAACTTCAAACAACCCAAACTTAAGGTGAGAGCCTGGAGGAAGAAACCCATCACAGAGGGGGCATTTTTTGTTTCATTGGAAACTGACTTTACAAAATCATTGTTACACTAGTAAATCCAGAGGTCAATTCTAGCTAGGACCCCAGAGAAAAGGCTGAGAAATTCCTAAAGATCATGCCTTTACCTTCTTTTTCTTCTCTCTCTCTCTTCTCTCTGTCTCTCTCTGTCTCTCTCTCTCTCTCTCTCTCTCTCTCTCTCTCTCTCTCTCTCTCTCTCATTCTTCAGAATATTTGAAACATCCAAGAGCAGGGTCCACAGGTAAAGAGGGAAGGGCCAGATAACTCTATTAATTAGAGTTCTCTATAGAGAACAATTTAGCGAATCTCTATTCTACTAGGTGGATCCCACTGTCTCGCATGACATAGTACACTTCACAAATAATTGCTGAGGAATCAATAAATGGGTATATGGGAATTATTTGCAAACTTTTAAAAGCCTAGTGGGAATAATACATTTCCCAGAATAAGACAATAACTGCCAAATAAAATAGCACATCTTTCCTTTTTCTTTTTTCCTGGAATTATATCAATTCCATGTTAGTGCTGAGTGCAAGGCTTACAGATCAAAAGCACTGATTGATTCCTGATGACCTTACATGCCTTATTACTAGAGCCCTAGATCAGACTAATGCAATACTATCTAAATTGAACTCTTCTATGGGCCTTGCACAAACACAAGGCCAAATTAAAACAGTCCCTATCAATGAAAACCTACTTATATCATAGGCCCTATCATCTAATGCTTAAGGTTGCAAGTCTGGAAGCGGACAGCTTTCAATGCTTGCTTCCCATCAGAACTAACCATGTGATTTCAGGCAACGTCCTCTAAAAACAATAAAGAAGAAATCTCTAAGTCTCAATCCCTACCCTCATATCAAGGTGCCATTGATTCTCTCTACCCCAAAACTATCAAGAGGATAAAACAAGAAATTTTTAATCTTCTGGGTATAGCTGGGCTGGAGTGACAGCACAACCAGTAGGGTGTTTGCCTTGCGACGCAGCCAACTCAGGTTTGATTACTCCGCTCCTCTTGGAGAGCCTGGCAAGCTACCAAGAGTATCCCGCCTGCACACAGGGCAGAGCCTGGCAAGCTTCCTGTGACGTATTTGATATGCCAGAAATAGTAACAACAAGTCTCACAATGAAGACGTTACTGGTGCCAGCTCGAGCAAATTGATGAAGAACTAGATGACAGTGCTACAGTGCTGAGCATCGCTTGCTCTGTAACTATTATGCAGTGTTACTTAAAATTCATATTCTTTGGCAAAATAAGAGCATTTTGGTATCTTCTTAGCTTCATGACTTTTTGAGGTCCATACTAATTGTCTGTTTTCCCCGCCAGCAAAGAAGGAACACTTATAAATACACTATTCTCATACTCATACGCTAGAAGTCAAATCTGCCACACTTAAAGAAAAATTCAGCCTACATATAATGCAATCACACAGGTTTACCTACAAAATTCTCTTCTTTCCTACCTTCATCTTCCCACTTCTCTGTCTCTGTTTCTCTATTTCCCTCTCTTTCTCTATCTTAGTCTGTTTCTCACTCACAAACGTATGTGAACATACACATATACTGCACACGTGCATGCATACATGCACTCCACCTACACTTGAATCATTTGTATAGATTGGTAAACAATATTTGGTTAAACATTAAATATAAAAAAATGAAGAAACAAAAAGTTTTAAGTATCGTTAAGGACATTGTAATGTCCTTTTTTAACAAGACTTTTCATGGCATGCCCCTAAAATTTCACTTTTTCCTTCTTTTTTTTTTACCATTTTTTCCTTATTTACTCTAGTAGCCTGTACCTAACTTAATAGTAAGGTATATTTTTCAATACTCACTTATTTAATGCAGATACACGTTTCATAGAGACTCTAGAAATTTGCTTAACACCTAGAGAAATATTAATGTGATAATTATTACATCCTTATCACTAAGAACGAAATGGTACTTTTCAGAATGTAGTCCACAAAACAATATTATTATATAGAAATGAGCTAAGAAGACAAATGATTTGGATACGCATCTACCAGGTCTGTCAAACTTTAAGAGCCATGGGCATAAGACAGCTCAAAGTCTTGTTCATCTATATGCTGCAGATTGTACATAGAAAGATGAAAAAACCTAAGTGGATAATAAATATAGTCAGTTCCTTATTAAATCATCCATAGGTCTCTCAGCAACTACTACTAATATTAAATCCCAAAAAAAATTGAATAAAAACTCTACTTATTTTTTTACTTAATGGAAAATAACCTTAAATATCATTGCGTTAAAATTTCCTGAAGTCAAAACAAAGGATCTCTGGATCAAACAAATTCAGTTGACTGGTTGTTTTCTGATCTTTACACCTTTGTGATTCCATTGTTTCATCTATAAAACTTGGGAGGTTTTCCTTATGTAAATAATTGCTCTTTATGTAAGTCAATAATATTAAGTTTGATTTAACATCTGAAAAATAATGAAAATATTACTCATTTTGCAAAGATGCCATATTTTGCCCTTTCTCTTTATAGAACCTAGAAACTCCTTTGGCTAAAAACAACAAACAAAACCCATTACAATGACTTGGGTAAAAAAATTGTTGTACATATGCTTTAACTTTGGGCTTATTTCTCAAATCAAAATATTAGGCCCAGTTTGGCCCAGTTTCCTCATTTGAGGCAGGAAGAAAGATGAATACTGAGGCAGTAAAGAACTGCCTGTGTCTAAAGGATCAAGAATTTTCAAGAATTCTTTGCCTTATGAATCACTGAACAGAAATTTGTTACAAGGCCATCCCAAACACCCAGGGATTCCAGGGAAACAAATTCTACTCTTTGAGCACATTGCCCAAGCAAAATTAATGTCCTGCAGGCAAAATAAATAAATAAATAAATAAATAAAAGAAAAAGAAAAAGGTAGCGGGTATATAAGTAGTGACCAGCAACTTATCCCGTACCTCTAAGTAATAATTAGTTGAAGGAGCAGAAGTCATCTCATACATGCTTTTTTTCTTCTTTCTTAGAAGGGAAAAAAATGTCACCGCACCGTTAAGTCACACAAATCCATCCACCTGCATTTTGACAACTGCACGAGCGTGGAAACCTACAAGCCCAGATTCTGTGGCACATGTATTGATGGCCGCTGCTGTACCCCTCACAGCACCAGAACCATGTCTGTAAACTTTGAGTGCTTCTCAGGAGATGTCGTCCAGAAACCAGTGATGCAGATCCGGTCCTGCAGTTGCCACACCAACTGTCCTCAGATTGATCCCTTCCTCCAGGACTTGAAGCGAAGCACCCACTAAGGAGGATGTGATGGTTTCCTCCAGAAGCAAACACCAGCAAAGCATGACCACCTACAAATGAATATACCCAGATAACGAACAATTAGTATTTACCCCTGAGTCCTATGCATTTTCTGTGGTCATGTGAGGTCAGTTATATCTGTCTTTTTCTTTAACTGTAAACTTTGAATCAAAGTAAGCTCAGGATAAGGCTTCAGGTTGACTTGCTTTTTTGTGGTGTTTGATACACATGAAGATTTCTGTAGACTTAAGAAATCAGATAATAGTTTGACATTATAGACTTTGTCACATTACACTCATTATTTTACGTATTAGTGCAATTTTGTGAAAATATATTATAAGAAATGACACCGTTTGCAGTCCAGAATCAAACCTGTCTTTCATACAAATACTTCACAATATACTGAGATTTAAATTGAGAGTTCTCTGATGAGTTCTCTTTTTGAGTAGTTCAACTCTAAAATGTCAACTCTAAGGTTTGAAAAACCATCTTCCACTTGACGCTCAAAGACTCTTTGTTTTCTGTTTAGTTGCGTCTATAATAAGAAACTTGCTTTATCTACAGTAATGAAATATTTGTTAGTTAAGTGGACCTGCCAAGCTCCATGTGAGATACACCAACTCCTTTCCAATAGAAAGAAGCTAGCAGAAAACTCATGTAGATACAGAGATGACTGGGCCAGACCAGCCCTCATAGATATACTTGAGGCTATTAGGACTCATTCTTTTTTTAAACTCAGAAAAAGCAGAGCATAGTGGCACTGAATTCTCATTTCACTGAGAAGCAAAATGAGGCCCAGAACCCTGACTACAGCCTTTGATTATTTTCAAATGTACTTGAAATAGAATTTTGAAATACATAATTATGGCTGGGGATATAGATCAGTGGCAGAATATATGCTTCATCTGTATAAGACCTTGAGGTAAATCTCTGCCACTGTGCAAGCATGCACGCACGCTTGCACACATACACACACAAAAAGCAAAACTGACATGACACACATGTGTATGTACATAACATATAACAAAAAAATCAAAATTGACATGACTGTGATAGCAGGATACCAAAAACTTTATGGGTTTAGAATTATTGTAGATAGTTCCAGAACTTATCCCTGGGTCATATTATGCAAACTGATCTACAAGATATATGTCTGTACAAGCATGTATCTGATGTGTCAAGCTATAAGATCATTGACAAACTTAAAAGTGCACATTTTTCTAATGTCATCATTTGTTTTCCACCTCTCTCCTACAAAGTATTTATATAAATTATATAAAATTTCCATACTTGTTACGCATCACTAATAAATGTTATCTTTGTCATGCTCTGCTATTGGTACTGTTTTTCTGCTTCTCAGTTATTAAAATATATGTAATGTGAAAATTTAGGGAGTAAGTGAAACACCCAACAACAAACAACATCTACTGCAAGTCAAATGGGTATTTTTAAATGAATACAGAAATTCTTATCAGAAGGAGAACAGAAGACAGCGTATAATGAGTTGGGTGCTCTTGACTGCCAAGACCCCAAGTGGGCATCACACTGAAGATTCAAAATATCAGTATCTTGAGCCCTCATAATTTTCTTTCTTAAACTGCTTTTTTAAAATTAATTTTATGCAGTTGACATTTTCATATAGCATTATTTCAGTTGCAGATATTCCGGTTGGTAAGGTGCTTTCCTTGCATGCATTCAACCCAGGTTCAATCCCTGGCATCCCATTTGGTCCTCCAAACACCACCAGGAGTGATCTGAGTGCAAAACCAAGAGTAACATCTGAGTGTTGCACAGTGTGGCCCCAAAACAAACAAACAAACAAGACTGCAGGACTTTCCTTCAAATAATAATTGTCAAAGTATTTGACAATGGATTTTTCGAATTTCATGATGTGACAGTCTAGAACCCAGCATTATAATCTTTGTGTCTGTCCTAATACCCTAGTAAGCACACAATGTACCTCACTATCTACCTGCTGAATACATGAATGGATGAACGAGTGAATTAACTATAAGATGGAATGTTCTTTGAGATAGACTTTTCTTTAACTCTCTTTTTGTCACTTCCCACTTTCTCTTTCTTTCACACCGCACATGCATGAATGCATTTCTAAAATTATAATGAAAGACAGTTGAAATAATGCAATCTGATCTATAAATACTTGCTAAATCCTGAGGATTCTAATAATACAGCAAGGAAAGCAACATTTAAATTGAGCAGAGCTAAGGGTTGCAGACTTGAAAGATATTTAAGCTTGAGTTTGATTATCAGACCTACTCTTCCCCAGCTGTGGGATATTAAGCAATTCACATGCACCCTCTGAGTCTTGGGTTCTACACCTGTAAGATGAGACCATAATATTTAGGGAGTCACCAACATTCCTAGTCTGTCATTAGGAAAGATGATTTCTCAGCTGTACAACCAGGATAGGCCCAGGCAAATAGGGATAAGTTGATAACTTTGGCAGGCACATATTATAAGATTATGTGCGTTGCTAAGTATTTGGTTATGCCAAGTAGGTCTGCAAAATTAGCTGTTAATATCTAAGAAGCATGAAGTAGAGCTGAGTATTGCCCATTGTCGCGTGCATGTCACGTTCAGAGGTAGACTTTATTTTCAATATCTCATTTCTATATCAAAAGACAAAGATAATCAAAGAAACTAGTGGCCTATTAAGGACACAGTAAATAAATGTATTCAAACTGAAGGTTTGCTTTTGCTAAGAGCCAAAGCTTTTTTCTTTCTACAGAGCTGTAACCACTACAGCCAAGTATATTTTCAGCAACCAAAACAATTCCAGCAGTTTTAATTTTTGTGCTATTTTCTTTAACTATGCATGGTTTCTTTTAGAAACAACATTACAAAGTAATGAGATTATTGAGATAATTTTGTTAATATGAAATTTAAAAGCATTTCATTGCTGTTTAGTGATAAGGTATACTTCCTTATCACTTGAGAATTTTTCTTTTCTTTGATCACATCAGGACTCAGTTCAACCATGTAGCAAGGACATCTTTTACTACAAAGAAAATAATCTGCCATATACACACCTGTGTTTGATGAGATTATCAATAAGTTTTTTGATGGAGATTTCTGGGCAGGATTAGTGTCCTTTCCTGGGGCCTTCTATTATCATACTTCCAAGAGGGACTCATTCCAAAATTCATGATGTGATAAGTCAGATCATCAAGAGTATGGTCTTTTGGCTATGTACTATTGAGCTTAGTTCAAAGATTCATTATTGCTGGGAAATCTATTCATCTTAATCACATGGCATGGTTCTTGCAGCACTACTTTGTAATCCCGAACCACAAAGGGCTCACCAAATTCAATTACCACTTCAATCACACTGCCAGCACTTCAATCACACTGCCAGAACTCTAAGTAATGAAGAATTCTCTACTGCTGCCCAGCTGAGGACTGTGAATTACTGTTATATTAATACAGCTGTTCTGGGGATAATCAGGTAGGGTGGAGGGTCAGGATGGTAATGTTGTACCTTTCTTTCTGAAGGGTATGTATCATTCTCCCTAGGACAAGAAAATAAAAGCCTGAATTTCAGCCCAGGGAGTTCTACAAATGAATATATAGTTTTGTTCTAAAAGTAGAATTTCAGTTTGGAGTAAAAGTCCAAGTCCTGGTTCCCGCATACTCAAGCTATGCTTGTAGAGGCTCATGGTCACCGGGGTTCCATCTGGAGGAGGTGGGATGCAGCACCTACCCCATCTGGGACTTCCCAGTGATCTTGGCTGTTTTTGGGACCTGGTGCATTCTCCGGGAGCTGTGGAGCCCCCCAGCGGCCGCTCCGGCTCCCAGGTAACCTCTGATTCTGGAAGTCATGCCCACAACCCGCCCCCCCCAGCGCCATCTTTACAGCACACAACTGCAGAGGAGAAAGGTTGCGGGGGGCTCCATAGCTCCCGGAGAATGCACCAGGTCCCAAAAAGGGCCGAGATCACCGGGAAGTCCCAGATGGGGTAGGTGCCGCATCCCGCCTCCCCCAGATGGAACCCCGGTGACCATGAGCCTCTACAAGCATAGCTCGAGTATGCGGGAACCAGGACTTGGACTTTTACTCCAAAGCATGCGGCTGCTTATGCGGCTATGCAACATCTCCCTATATACAAAGTGATCAATGGAAAGTAAATCATCCAAAGTTTCCTGAAAATTAGGCTTAACTCTTATACAAACCACAACACCGAATAGGAGAGAGAGAACAAAAGGGAATGCCCTGCCACAGAGACAGGGTGGGATGGGGTTAGGGTGGGGTGGGGGGTGGGGGGAGGGATACTGGGATCCGTGATGGTGGGAAATGGTCACTGGTGGAGGGATGGGTATTCAAAATAAATAAATTAATTTTAAAAATAATAAAAGTAGAATTTCAACTGACCGAACATTCCATCAATTCTCCTGAAAGGGTTTGGAAATAAATGTTTTATAATCCAAGAAGGAGATGTTACTTGCGTTTTAAAATTGTTTTATCAACATCTGGAATGCAGGTCGTGCTTGTAGCATAGATTGAGAAGCTTAGAAGAAGTCACAAAGTTCTTAGGTTGGGCTTAACAAGGGTCAGTATGCTCCAGCCTGACCCAGATTGTCCTGCTAAAGTAAAGTTACATGCAAGACCTTAGGAGGACCTTGGCCAAGGACATCCCAGTGAGTTTAGATCTCAAGTCTCTGAAACTTCAGCAGGGAGGCTTTTCCACTGCACTGCAGAGAACCACAGCATCAAGTAAAAAAGGTTTAAAATTATTCAGATCCTATTACATAGCATCTTCCCCAATCTCTGACCTAATTCAAGAATGTTCTTTAAGTTCACCTTCACTTTTGACTGACACCTTATTGCTCCCCATCAGAACTGACCACTCCCCTCCTCTGTTTTGTCTTAAAACTGTGTCTGTCATAGCATAGCAACCCACACGTCCTTGATCTAACAGTTTTCCTGTCAATTTCCCCTTTTAGCTCCATGAGTGCTAGGCCCTTTTCTCCTTCACTCACTATTGTTTCACATCCTTTCCCATCACAATATCCCACCTAGCAGGGCATATGTAACACTATCATCAGAAGCTTTTCACACCAAATTTTCTGAGGTATCCACATTTCCTCTCAAAACTTCAGATAATTACTTTGATGGTCATATGGTCTCAAACCTAACAGTCCAAACTGGGCTTGTTAACTTCTCTGCCAATTCCATGCTGTGTGCCTTCTTCCATCAGCAGACACCTTAACTATGTTTTTGATTAAGTTAAATCCAGGATGTCTGGTAGACTTCTTCCTGCTCACAGTCTGACCACCATCCAAATATTCTGAAAAGCTGAGCTCATCAATGGTACAAAGATGAAGCCATACTCTAGAGCAGAGTAGGCCTCTTTCCACTCCAAGTTAATCTCTTGCTCTTTATCTTTCACACATCCCAGTTCTAGAGTCTATAACCTCTTTGCTTCTAGATGTTGCATGTGCCCTTGGTTCTGCTGGGCATTTCTCCGAACTCCATTCTCTCTAACCCAGCTTCTCTAATTCCTATTCTCTTTTCAGTCTTAGCTTAGATCACTGTTCTCAACAGGTGGTGATATTACCCCCCAAAAGATATTGAGCCTTATCTAGGGACGATTTTGGTGGTCCCAGTTGTGAAAGACATACTATTGGCTCCTACTAGTTAGAGGATATGGTCACTGCTAAAAATTCTACAAACTCCCCTCTGGCCCTAAGAGGGCGGAAAAGTAAATCAGGTACATTTAGAACATGAGGATGTGATATATATTACATGTCACATCTGGATTGACTAAATCAAGACTACCTGGCACCACATAGCCTTCTAAGCACCATTAAGCATGCTCTCCCCCACCCCTCAAAAAAATTTCAGATAATACATTTAATCTCTTTAATATATTTGTGTTTATTTAAATTGTCACTGTCACTGTCCTCCCGTTGTTCATCGATTTGCTCAAGCAGGCCCAGTAACATCTTCATTGGAGACTTTGTTGTTACTGTGGTTGGCATATCAAATACGTCATGGGTAGCTTACCAGGCTCTGCCGTGCGGGCAAGATACTCTCGGTAGCTTGCCAGTCTCTCCGAGAGAGGCGGAGGAATCGAACTCGGGTCAGCCATGTTGGCTGCGTGCAAGGCAAATGCCCTACCGCTGTGCTATAGGGCGTTTGCCTTAAACGCAGCCAACATGGCCCACCCGAGATTATTTAAATATAGCAATTAAAATTTCTAGTTGACTAGTTTACTTGATTTTCCCACCCAGATCTTCAAGTAAAATTGATGCTTCAGATTGATACATATTTATATTGA